TGAATGAAATTTGAAAGAAACCTATGCATTTTTGCAGAGTTTGTTATTCTATCAACACAAGGCTTTGCAAACCCCACCATCCCTGCATGACAAAAAAGATTTTTCAAACCAGTCGAAACGTCCACCCAGGTAAGATCTACATGGGTATTTAAGTCACTGGCAATGAATAGTACATTGTAAAAGATCAGGACTGATAGTCACCTACACGCAAGTTGAGGTTTGGTGTGGTTCGGAGAGAGTAAAGAATGAGTTTCAGGCAGGGATGAGGCTTGAACACTACTGTTAAGGAGATGAGAGCCTATGATGTCCTCACTGCCGTGGAGTGGAGTGGAGTTATCCTCTCCAGGGTTTGCCATTGAATGCCTCGGTCCTGTGTGGGCCGATGTCCTCGGTCCAGTGTTGACACCAACTCCCTCGGTGCAATCTGCATCGATCTTGCCAGGGCCAGGAAATGTTGGTTTCTCAGACTCAGTATAGCAGGGATGACGCCCAACATGACAGGCAAGACAGAGGTCATGCTCTCATTGCAACATATTGGAACAACATGATCGACCAGTACACTGATACAGATTGGTACCACATTCAAGTACGTTTCGGAGAGTTTGCAAGCACCTTGGAGTATGGCTGCATGTCAATCATATCGATGGAAGGACATCATTCTTGAATTAGTAAGGTCTTCACTTCACCAATGTTTGGTCAGGATGCCATGCTCAAGGCTAATGTGGGCGGTGATGCTGTTTGCCACAGCGAGGAGCAACATGGAGACTGGACCTTCAGGATGTCAAAAAAAACCTTGCGACCTTTGTCCATTTTTGTCCCACGCACCAAACCAACTCACCCTCGCGCAGTGCTTGGTGGACTTTGATAGACCGGCCAGTGCAGTGGTTTCCTGACTGGTCAGCGGTAATGTCAGCGGATGTCGATTTGGGTGTCCACGGTATTTTGGTAGTCTTTGAAAAGGGGCCACCTTGACTCTCGTGGGGTGCCAAAAGACCATCTGGTCAGACCCCGGATGTGTTTCACCCGACGATTCTGCGGAACATCTTCAGGATCTTCAGGAGACCGATTTGAGGCACCAGCAGTTTATGTTTGAAACTTGTTATCTTGTTGCACCAAAACTGTCTTCCCCGCTGGCGGACACGGAACCGGCAGCCATGACAGGCGTCGCCGGCCATGTGTCTTCTGTGGGTAGCCGATCGGCGAGGTCTACAGGAGCCGCGGTCGTTTGATGGTTCTTGGAACGCCTTCGACGGTGTTCCGTCATGTGTTGTCTCAAGCAAAAAGTGGGTTTTGGATGGTTTTGGAATGTGATGGACCGGTGGATGATGTTTTGGTGGTTTACCATGGATATGTTTGGTTTGGTAGTGTGTGTGTGTGCCTGTGTGCGGGCCTCTTAGAATATTAAATACACAAATGCAGGATCATGAGCGTCAATACTGATGGAACACTTGCTCAGGATTGCTTGCTAAATGCTGAGATGAACTTGAAGGCAAATGTGTTGGAACGAAGAGATGATGGGGCCAAAGCCTATGAGAGTTCATCAACCGCCGACGGAACGAAGATGGGCAATGTGAGTTCGTTGAAAGTAGGATTCTACGTTTCATCGGAGCAGACAGCAAGCAGCACGACTTTTGGACTGCCTGAGGGAGAGCTGTCCACAAGAGGGACGAGTGGTCAGTCATTGTGGAGAGGCTGCAAGGGACTTGTTTACAGCTTGGCAAGTGTTTTGATCATGTGGGATTGTGGTCCAGAAATTCCCTTTGCTTTTTGTTGGCGTAGAAATCGTGTCTGACAATTCGTACCGAACCGAAGCAGGAAGGAGGTCACCCCGCCGATTCTGCACACGGCAACCCGCTCCCAAAAGCCTATAGGCACACATCGATGCGATCGATGTGCCGAAGCACCTGGTCCCACATTGATGGTGGAGCACATGTGCTAAACAATCCGGGATGCAGATGTTTAACAAGCGCAGCAGGCATGTGTGCCTTGATGATCTTGATGAATCAAGTTGCGGTTGTCATGTTTGTATCTCAATTGCTGAACTGATATCACGGGGATGGTCTCCGCAGAATGTCCAACTCGGGGAGCACCTGCTACCTAAGTATGCTCGCCAGCTGCTGTCTCATTTTGTACTGAAGGTTTCAACATCTTCTTCCTATCCGACGAGTACTTCCAGGATTTCTCAATGTTTGCTTCAGCTGCTGTGGACAGCGACCTGCTATTCCTTTGGCAAGCTGTCGACTAGTTCTGAGCTTCATGTAGGAGTGGTGCCAAAGGGCGAGAATGAAGTGGCACGATTGTTTGGCAATGCCGTCTTCATTTGGGGACTGTTTGGTTGCAACATGTTGGGTAAACGGGGGGGTTAGCCCCGAACGCAACACACCGAGAATGAAAAAACCATGTGTTTTACAGGGTTTCGTGGCTTTCCGGACACTCAACTTATCGTCTTGCAACTCTTGAGTTGCAAGACGATAAGTTGAATGCGTCTTGACGGACCCAACCCACCCGCCTGCTCCATGTACAGCTTGCCAAGGCTTATTTTCCAGCCGCCAGACATCAGTCTTGTTCCCAATTGAGCCATTTGAGGGGGCTTCTCAGCTTCTCTATGTATTCTGACAGCCTTGAGCATTGAGTCCAACCCTGGATGTTGGCGGAACCGCAACGCTGCGAGGCCTTCAACGTGCTGTCGTTGCAGCTTTGCATCCCAACGGCCAAGAAGACCCATTCTACGCAGTGTTAAAACAATCCTCGAACGTCGAGCCCGTCATGTCCTCTAACACATAGCGAGGGGCTGCGTCACAAAATTGCAAAGGTTGTTTGGGATTCTTTGGCAGAAGTCACCATGCAGCTAGAATCGGGATGGTTCAGGTACCAGACCACCCATGTGAACAAAGACTTCTCAGACTGAAGAGTGAGGGCAATGGACTGGTCCCTGCGCTTGTCTTTTGGAGTGGTGACCAGTCTTCGAATGGCCGAGAAATCGGCAGGTGAAGCGTGGCCGCCCCAAAAATGGTCCTGAGTGCTGTGAGTTACTCTAAGACAGTCCGTTCGCTTTGTAGCTGCCCGATGCATTGGAAACGAACAAGTATACGATATTATAAGGAACCTCCAAAACTTTTGAGTCGAGGTCATTCCCTCAAGTGGTTACACACTGCAAAATCATGCATTATCCAATATCTAACAACCCCTTGGAACTTTGGTAACTCATCAACTCGGACATATTCTGTCTCATTTCCGCCATTTGGCAGGACGAAAGCCTGGCAATGTTGAAGGCGGGGCGAAGGAAGGTGGGATGGAAAAGCAGTGAATCATCGAATGCGTCTTTACCAGTATAACCCCAGCCCAAGGATTGCTGAAAGGGTACAACTGCAAGCAGCACCCCTCCAATTGGAATCCCCTGGTCTTGGTCTGGAAGGTTTGGAGGACAAGCAGATATCATGTTCATGCTGAGATTCATGCTGGTGTTTGGCAGCCAACTCGAATTGCTTAATCCCCAGGCTTGGGTGGTACAGTAGCTTCTTGGTCACTTCCTTTTGTGGTCCGATGCCGGAAGATTGTTTGATGCTCAAAGAAAGAAGAGAGAGAGAGAGAGAGAAGGATCCTCTTCCCATCAGCCCTCCAGCAGCTCCACTTCCACATTTGTTCTGCGTTCGCGCACGTCACTGCCTCCCCACCACCCCGCCATCGGCTCCAGGTGCCTCGAATGCCAGCACACGCATCGCGACCGATGCCAGCCGGGCTTCGTCCGGTGGCGTCCCAGCGGGTGCTCCAAGTCCGGACTCCCAGGCTCCCAGCGGGCCTGCCGCAAGAGGCGGGCACTTCGGACAAAGTCCCAAGAGGTCCGGGAGATAATTCATATATATATATATATGTATTACTGTATTTATATTGAGTTGACTATGTTTATACTCCTCAGGTTGCTATTCTTTGCTTTGTTGACAACCTAATTACTAGGACTTTGGGGTCAGGCCAGGTTCCACTTGAGGATTCACAGCAAGGCTGGGCTCGTTGTATCACTATTTCAACTTGGACAAAGAATAAGGTTCACTATCTTAGACTGTCTTCCTGGTATTTTGTGTTTTACATACAATGACCAAGTACTGGGGTTGTGACTCTATGACACTTGTTTGCATCTATATAAGTCAGAGTACAAGGTTCCACAGTCCAGACATGGGTTCTTTAGCAAACGGAACATATATTTGATCATCATGTTACCACCCGCACCTCCACCCAAGGGAGAGAATTATTCTTTGCCACAGTGATCATTTGCACTGAATCTGAACGGAACCAAACGATAAAACGACATCACACCACCGCCACAACAAGTACTACTACTACTACTACTACTACTACTACTACTA